GAAAGGAACTTGAGAAATTCATGATACCACGGTCAGAGGACAAAATAACATAGGAGATTTTGAGGGAAGTTACCTTTGTCCTTCCAGTAAAAGGTGGAACTATAATTGTTCAGATTTCACTTTTAATGAGATATTATCACTGGTTTATCTCATTCTTCTTACTGACATTTCTGTATCACATCACCAGTCTTGGACTACCACACCAAGTGAAGGACAAATGTAACATAATCGCTGTACAAAAATGTTTTATTTTACTGCTATCTTTAGAGGAATATAAAACCAAATTTCTACTATACGTTTTATAACTAGAGAAATATTCTAGCATAATGATTCCCAACAGCTTTTTGTCTCCTGTTTGACTAAAGTCTGCCTACACAGGCCTCTGAACAAGGTTTGTTATAAACTGTGTATTTACAATAAACAGAGTTCAATATAATATATAAGAGAGGATAAGGAGAGTTTATGAAGGCAAAAATGTTAAATTCAGGAGAATGTGTTCTTCCAAAAACAACTGCAGTGCTCCAGTTACAGCTGTAAGAACTGGTGCATATAAAGTCTTACAATTCTTTTCATTAATAGGAAAATCCTGATCTGATGTTCCGTTTTCTAGCTTCTGTACCCAACTTCCATGGTTTTCAGCAGCGTCATCCTGTCACTTACATTCTAAGAGTTTTCATAAGGAGAAAGGAGTTAAGGGATTTGCCTAAAATTAACAGTTGGCTGGTAAAAGGGGAAAGTATCCAGTTATTTGAGCAGGTCGCCTCCTCCATTTCTGAGTTTTGCAAAATACTGTAACAGCAGAAAACTAGGTAGGTTCTCTTCATCAGGGAGAAGAAATAAGGGGGGGGGGGGGGGGGGGAGAGAAAAAAAAAGAGAAAAAAAGTAGAGAGATGAAGAGATGTAGCTTCAAAAAGGACAGACAGAGAAGAGAACTATTTCCCTTCTTTTGCTTTTAGACAGCTGTTTTGGGTGATGTGGCAATCTTCATCAGTCTTTGGAAACACTTTACGATCCTTTCTGGCTACTCGGAGCTCTTGAGCACAGCTGATGGGCAACAGCAGAGGCAGGTGACAGCTAACGGGTAAGAGCTGACAGGTAACCACTAACTCACGACAAAAAATTTTCCAAGGAGCTATGACTTACAAAATAGACTTGTACTCTTCTTTTGTACTAATGAATCATTTGATTTGTCTCCAAGCTGTATTGGTAGAACTGCCTCTACAAAACTGTTTCCAGCCTGAAAGCAGTAGTCCTTTGTAATTCATATGTGATCATTAAAAATTGAAATCTCCCTGTTGCACAGGGTCATGCAGGTCCTTCACGTTCCCAAGGTGGAAAAACATTCTTGTAGAATGAAAATCGTCTTTAGTCATGGAGACTTCCTGCCTGAAGTCCATTTCTTGCTATCATTAGATGGGGATGAGCATACCTAGCAGCTAGGGCAAAAGCTTACAATTCAGAGTCTAGTTCTTGCCCTGTTTCGAGTCATGTCACCTATGCTCCTCACAGAACTATACTGTGATGTGTAACTTGCTCAACCCCCTGATAGGGAAGCAGGGGGCTTTGATGAGGTCCTGGTGCGTGCTGACTCCAGTGAGATCCTCTCCTAAAAGAATCTGTGGAAATCCAGAGCTATAGCAGTACAAAAATGAACTGTTTAGTAACAGAGTCTCACTGGGAAACAAAAATCTAGCGCTATCTCTTTCTTTTTGAGTTTTCCAGGTCATGATTGTTCATGTTTTCGCACTATTTTTAGAAGATGAACCTCCTTCTTTTCTGGTCTTGTCAGGAGATAAGGCAAACTTGCTTTGAGATAAGAAGTACTTAAAATATCCCAAAGTAGCTGAACTTTTCCTGTGCACTTTAAGGGTATGACTTTACTGAAGATAACCAACCTGACACAGCCATACGGTAGGAAACTAAATGTATATTATCATGAAACTCTCCCTCCTATCTACTCAATTTAGATGACAATTTCTTGACTCAGTAATGGATTTCCTGCCTGTTGTTCCTCTCTTCAGGAAACACCAGCACTATGCAGAGAATAGAAGCAATCAAAGGCTTGACAAATTGAATTTGCTTAAATGTGTGCTTATGGCATTCATGAAACAAAAATGTCAGAGAGGATGTTTGGAGGCAGTTATTTATGACCAAGAGATATGAATGAATGCAGAAGAGGTCTGTTTGGGAAATGTGGAGTCAAGCCTTAGAGAAAAGCATCAGAGGAGAGCAAATTAAAGCTTTCAAGATTATCTAGAAGATCAGGACACTGCTGGAAATCTGGAAGGAGTGGTTGCTGCAGTCTTGCTATTCATCCCTCACTTTCTTGTTTTGGGCCTAGCAGCTTCATGATTTTTAATTCTTATTTTGTCTAGGTAGCTGGCTGAAAAAGGCTTGTATACAGTTTCCAGTTTCCTCTTGGACAGAACTCAAGTGCAGTTAAACCATTTAAACACAGGCTTTAACATAACTCCAACCTGTGAATTATCAGCTCTTCCCCTGGTGTAGCATGCACTCCTGAACATGGTAGATTGTATCAGTAAAAGACTGGAGTTCATGTTGGTCAAGGAAGTATGCAGAAAACTCGTAGAAGGCACCCATGAATAATAATTGATCATTTCCTTCTTTTATTGAATGGTGTAACATATCTTTTGGTGTAATATATTGTCTTTTGGGGTGTAAGCCAGTTTTTGTAGTTGACATCAGACCTATATTCCCACAGTTTTATGAAGGGCAAACAAGCCTATTTACTTTCATTAATATTTAGGGCAATTCTGTAAATACAGAACTCTTCATATTGGGAATCAAGATGAAAGGAGATGCTGTATGAATATGTATCATATATATACATATAGCATGTATAACTCTTTCTTAATTGTCTTTCAAAGATACTTGTTTCAATGCAGGGAGTCTGTAATCTGTGCTTTTCCACTCTTGGCTTGATGATGGTTCTGACTCTGCTGAATGGAAAGTGCAGAATTTTTGCTAAAACGGTTCATCTCTAGAAACTGCACAGATGAGAAGCAATTATTTGCGATAGATTTTCCATTCTTTAAAGCAGTATATGAAGTCAAGTGCTTTCAGTAGAGGTGCTGAACTAGATAAAACCCTTGTTAACTATGGAATTGTTTCTTTTCTCTTTAATTTCTCTTCAATTTCTCTTCATAGTCCCAAATCCCAGCACAATGGGGAATAGCATTTCCACTCTGGCTCTGGCAAAGCTTTTTATTTATTTGTCACTCTAGCCCTTAATGCACAAGGGAAAGA